GATCATTTATGAATATGTTAAATAGGACTGGGCCCAGTACAGACCCCTGGGGGACACCACTATTTACCTCTCTCCATTTCTGAAAAGTCTATTCTTAAATATGCAAAGGCATTAGGTCACCATGCAGACTAACAGCCTGGAGCACGGTATAGATTCCCAGGCCAGAAGGGACCATTGTGATCAAGTATTTTGTAAATCAGAGTAACTTTAGATTTATAGGAGTGAAAAAACATCTAAACCCACTAAAATAATAGGTTTTTACCTGCCTATTAATAAATCTCCATTAGGGTTAAAAAAAAATTAAGCTAAGCCTTTGTATGCTAAATTTGCTCATAGAAAGAGCAAGTGCTTACACCCAAGCTATACCGCTCTGTAGTTAGGAGTCTGTAAAGGAAAAGCAGCTCTATTAGTGATAGTGGGAACTGCCACTTTACCTGAGACTACTTTAAAGACTTATAATATTGATGAGAAAGCTCCTCTATACTATCACTTCAAACACTGACTGTATTAGTCTGGATAAAATGGGATTTGTGTATTTTTCGATGCACTGACAGCAAAACCCTAATAGGCAAACACCGTTAAACATGATTTCTAAGCTTATAAAGCAAAATAATTAGTGCAAGCTAATATTTATTCTTTCATACTTGGCACATTCTGTGCACATGCAGTCTGGGGATAATTTGTGAGTTAGAGAATTGTCTTCATATATTTGAGATCAGAATCATATCCCTAAGCAGTACCCAAGTTAGGGCTCATATAAAGCAGTAGAGTGGGCCCACTGCAGTGTTAAGATTGAAAAAAAGGTACAGAAAGAATAAAAAACCAAATGTCAAAAGGGATGGGATTTTAATAGCTTTGCTGTTTCAATTTAGTCTGAATAGAGAGGACAGTTCCAGCACTGCAAGATCAACAGGAAGTCTTAGAGGAGACAAACTGTACACAATATGTACTAGGTCTCTTCATACACAGTACATTTACATGCAGGTGGCCCCCTTCTTGAGTCTGCTCAAGCAGGTCGATACCCAGTAGATCAGTCCCCTCATATTTCCCATCTGTACACAGAATCCCTGGTTGGCGTACAGCTGCTGTAGTGACTCTGTGCCCCCCCCATATGCCTATTCTAGGAGGCATTCCCAGTGATCCCCAACTGATGGTCTAGCCCCTTGAGGCTGTTAAGAGCTGGGTGTTTGGGGCTGCTCTGACTTCTAATAAGGGGACCATAAAGGTGACATAAAACCTATATGCCCAGTCCTGTCCCAAGCAGAGCTTGGCCAGACCAGAGCATCAGGGCCATGTGTGTGTTATTATATAAACATACACATGAAGAAGGACACAAATTTGAGCCAATTCATTCACAGCATTGTTTTGTGATGATTCACAGCATTGTTTTATTCTAAAAAAAAAAATACAGTTTAAAGGAGAGCTGCTTTGATGCAGCCCCGTGTGCACAGCACATAAAACAGAACATTAAATATTGGTTTAAATTATTAATTATAAATTTTAAAATAGACTAATACAAACAAAATTCAGAGCAACACTGGAAAATGTAATCCTAGAAAGCACATTGCTGTAGTTAATGCAACTCCTTGTTCCCCTGGACATACTGCTGCAAAGAGTCTGAATCTGCTGATTCCAGTTGACTATCAAGATGCACAGCAAAATAAACACCACTTCTAGGATACAAAGCTCCATGTTCACATTTTTTTCTTTTTACCTTTTGCAACAGAAAACAAAAGCCAACATAATATATTGTTTGCTTCCGCAAAGCATGGGAGGTGATGAAATTCACTTGAAAAACAAATTAACAAAAGCACTATAAACAACAACCCTGGCCAACTTGTGACCATCAAAAGCCAACATGGATAAGAAAGGGAATAAAAAAAAAGTCTTAAGTCCAGTATTACAAATCTTGCCTATTTTTTTAAATCAGGAAATGCAAAAGATTTGTTTTACTAAGACTTTTCTGGTGAAGTTTTCTTTCTCCACACCTGGTGTGACGTTATTGACATAATCTGGGACCATATAGAACATGGTTGCAACCAAAGTCCTGTAGTGGCACCAAATTTTATATAAAGGGGGTCAAATGAGGTGTCTAAGACAAGGTTATGGATTGCTGGTTATAATTATGCTGTCTATATGTGTGTATCAATTTTGTAGTTGAAGTTATGAATATTGGCTCTATACTGTCTGTATTTCAAACTTATGCTATACTTCAGGGAAACATCCCAGACAAGTTGGTGTTAGCTTTGCCTAGCCTGCTTGATGGCCCATTAAAGACCATCAGCTATACAATTGATCCATTGAGAGAAGGCAAACACGCCTTGCAACTCAGCAAAGTATGCAGGGAGTGGCCCATGTGACTCCAGACTCCATTTTGCTGTAATTTTCCACAGTAAGAACAAAGAGGTGTTATTTTCCACAGTAAGAACAAAGAG